AGCTGGTTGTTCACCCGAGTTGGCTCCAGTTCAAATCAGGGGTTATGTCCTCCTGGCACCATTCTTTGGCGGGACAGTCAGAACCCGATCGGAGGCAGAAGGACCCAAAGACGCCTTCCTGAATCTCGAACTCATTGATAGGTTTGCCAAATTTTAATCCTGAATTGAATCTCTTAAAATCGAAGCAATACCATCATAATTCAAGAAGTTGTGCACTTGGTCAGGTATTGGAGGTTGTCTATTCCAGTCGGAGAAACAACGGACCATCCCCTGGTGAATCCATTCGGGCCAGCAAGTCAAAGCCTTGAATTTCTGAAACTTGATCCCATCCTGGTGATGGTTGGTGGAAGCGATCTGCTGAGAGATCGAATTGAAGAATACGCCGAGAGGTTGAAGAAGTTGGGGAAGAAGATAGAGTACGTGGAATTTGAAGGAAAACAGCACGGCTTCTTCACCATTGATCCAAACTCGGAAGCAGCCAACCAGTTGATGCTCATCATCAAACGTTTCATCACTGAAAACTCCGGATGAGCTGGAATGTCTCTAATAAATGGAATTTTCTGTCTTCTCTCCATGGAACCATACTTTGGTCACATCATCATTTAGGTATTCTGTGCTTCATTTCATCCATATGCATAATGAGGAGTGCTGGGGACACTCTTTAGCACCTTCTGTTGAACACTCTTTATGTGATTAGCTCACGTGGAACATAAATATAATTTGATTGGTGATTAGTGGTTGATATTAAAGTTAAAACTTTTAAAATTTGAAATTATGGTCAACGGCTTAATTAATTCAGTGGTTATCTCTTTTTGTTGGAAATAAGAGATACTGAATTTGAGTTATATGACATGTGAGTGGGATGAAATAAAGAGACAAAAGATAAAAAATAATTGTCTCTTATTATGTAATCAAGATGAAAAAAAAAATTATGATCAATCATATTAAATTTATGTTATACATGTTTCAATCACATAAAAAAAGTATTTAAAAAAGAGTGTTCAGGGGTGTTCTTAACACTCCTCATGGATAATTATAACTAAAACAAAAAATGTGTCTCCATCGCACTACTGTTAAAAAAAATGTACTGTACCATATGCTGTGCTTCATTTAATAGTTATTAGATAACAAACGAATTAAATTCTCTCTATTTAGTTATTCTTATTTTGAAACCGAAAACAACAAACCAAAAAGCTCCAATGAAAATATACAAAGCATTTAAGTTAATATTTTTAATTGTTACAGAATATTCTACAAAATATTCATCATGCTTGATTATATTCACATTATAATTTATTAATATGAATAAGTTAATTGATTTTGTATTATAAAATATTCTTTTGTACATGCCTATAAATAAGCCATTTGTATATTCAAATGAATCAAGAGAAGTATCATTTTCTTCATATTTTTCCTCTTCAGCCTCTTTTTTCTCTTGGTATCAAAGCCACTTAGCTCTTGTATCTGTTTTTAATTTTCTACTTCTATGCTATGGGTTTCTTGTTTCTTTGCTCTAGTTGGGTTCTTGGCCAGCATTGAGCCTTTAGAATTATTCTTCAGTAATCTTGAATTGCTCTTCTATTTTTTGGTTCTCCGGCAGCCTGTTGTTACTACCCAGATCTGCATCGATCTCCTTTGATTTTGTTGATCATATTTCTTTACTTAATATTTTTATTTTTTAATGGAGAAATTTGATATTTCCCAACCAATTTCAACTATTCTCAATGGCTCAAATTACATACTCTGGGCTCAAAGTATGCGCAGCTTTTTGAAGGGTCAAAAATTATGGCGGTATGTTACTGGTGACATTACACTTCCACAAAAAGTTGCTGATGAGACAGATAAGAAATATGTTGATTGTTTGGACGACTGGGATAGCAAAAACCATCAAATCATCACTTGGTTTCGTAACACCTCAATTCCTTCCATTGATCTTTAGTTTGGACGATATGAAACAGCTAAGGAAGTGTGGGATTTGCTTGCAACCAAGTATACCACTTTTGATTTGTCCAGTCAATATCAATTGTGGGAAGAGTTACAAAATTTGAAACAAGAACGTGGAGAGTCCATTACCAGTTTTTATGCTAAGATGGAGGGTATTTGGGATTAGCTTGCTCTTTCAGAACCGACCTTTGACAACACTGTTGATATTGGGAAGTGCATTGAGCATTGTGATAAAATGAGGTTAATTCAATTTCTTATGGCACTTATTAATGATTTTGAGCCATGCAGAACATCCTTATTGCATCAATCTCTTTTACCTACCTTGGATAGTGCTTTCTCACGGCTATTATTTGATGAAACTCGTTTAGGCTTACTAAAGCCTCAACAAGATAATACTGTTGCTGCAATTAGCAACAAGTTTCCTTCCAATAAGAGAAGGCAGAAGCATTGTCGTCACTGTAACAAGTACGGGCATGCTATATATGAATGCAGTCTGGTTGAATGTCATAAGTGCAAGTAGAAAGGTCATATTGCTCCCAATTGTACCACTTTACTACCTCAGAGATCTAATCAGTGGAAGACTCAATCAAAGCTCGATCAATCTTCCAAGCCTGTGGTTACTGCAACTGTTGTCAACAAGGATCCTTTAGTTCATTCTTCAATTGGTAATCTGGAAACCCTTCGTAAATAGATGATATCATCTTCCTCTACATCTATTGCCTTGTCTACCATCCCAAGTAATGTTTCTTGGCTTTTTGACTCTGGTTGTTGCAATCATATGACTTTGAACTCTAAACTTTTTTCTACATTAAACCTCGATACCATCGCATCTCCAGTTCATACTGCTGACGGTTCATAGCTGCAAGTTAGCCAATATGGTCAAGTTTCTACTTCTGCCCTCACCTTACCAAACGCTTTCCTAATACCAAAACTCACTTTCAATCTTATTTATGTGGGACAACTGTGTGAGCTTGGTCTTGAACTAATATTTTCTACTCATGGTTGTTGTGTGCAGGATCCATAGATGGGACAGATTCTTGGGATAGGCCGTAAGGTTGGACGGTTATTTGAGCTCACCTCCCTACACATCCCTTCTAGCTCTGTTTCCTAGTTGTGTGTCGTTAAGATAGCCTTTTCTTTACATTTATGGCATCTTCGTCTTGGTCATGCTTCTATCAGTAAACTTCGTCCTTTAGTACATTCTGACATATAGGGGCCATCTCTTACTCCTACCATGGGTGGTTCAAAATATTTTGTGTTATTTATTGATGATTATTCTTGCTTCACTTGGCTATATTTAATGAAAAAATGTTTAGAATTATCTTAAATTTATCTTGAGTTTGCTACTATGATAAAGACTCAATTCTCTAAAACCATCAAAGTCTTAAGAACTAATAATGCTCTTGAGTATCTTGATTCTAAACTTTAGTCTTTTCTTAAAGAGCAGGGCACAATACAACAAAGATCTTGTCCATACACCTCTCAACAAAATGGGCGGGCAGAGTGTAAACATCGTCATATTTTGGACTTAGTTCGTGCTCTCCTGATTTCATCCTCATGTCCTGGGCGTTTTTGGGGTAAAGCTACACTTACAGTAGTCTATGTCATAAATCGAGTCCCATCTGTTGTCACACAAAATAAATCTCCCTATGAGTGTCTTTACGGTATTCTTCTTGCTTATGATCTCCTTAAAATTTTTGGCTGAGCTTGTTTTGTTCTTTTACCTCCCCATCAACATCACAAGTTAGAGCCTCGAGCTCGACTTTGTTGTTTTTTGGGATATGAGATACACCATAAAGGCTATCGTTGTTGGGATCCAATATCACAAAAATTTTGTGTCTCTCGTCATGTTGTGTTTTGGGAACACACTATATTTATCGCTCTTTCTGAATTCAAGGTGTCCCCTTTTCATCAAACTCATATCTTCACTAATCCATCTCTTGAGTTATTTCCTAATGATGTTGCAGGGTGTCCCAATGAGCATTCAAATGATCAAACTACCATGGCTCCTGTTTCAGAAGATGTCTCTTCTATGGATATTGCACTTGGAACAAATGAGATTGAAAATCCACCAATTCCCTCCTCTTTCAGTCATCCTACTCGGGTAAGAAATCCACCTACATATCTTCAAGATTACCATTGTTTTTTTGCAATTACAGCTTTACATGAACCTTTGTCCTACAAGGAAGCTTCTTTAGATCCTCTTGGTAGCAAGCTATGAAAGAGGAATTACAGGCTTTGGAAAGGACATGTACTTGGGACTTGGTTGATCTTCTTCCTACTGATAAGACTCTAGTTGGATGCAAGTGGGAATTACAAGATCAAAACTCGTTTTGATGGATCTATGGAACACTATAAGGTACGTTTAGTGGCAAAGGGTTTTACATAGGAATATGGCATTGATTATGAGGAGACCATTCTTCCCTTGTACTTCATGCTTATTCAGATGCTGACTGGGCTGGTGATCTTACAGATCAAAGATCCACTATTGGCTATTATCTTTTTCTTGGTAACTCTTTTATTTCATGGCATAGTAAGAATCAAGCTATTCCAGCTCACTCTAGTACTGAGGTTGAATACAAAGCTTTAGGTGGCACCACTTTAGAACTTTTTTCCCTGCGATGGCTCTTGGAGGATATGGGTGTTTCCCAACCATCTTCTATTGATCTTTATTGTGACAATCAAAGTGCTATACAGATTGCTCACAATGATGTTTTTCATGAACGCACAAAACATATTGAGTTTAATTGTCATTTTATTCGATTTCATGTTGCCAAAGGAACTATCCTTTTGGGCTTTATTGGCTTTGTTGATCAACCGGCAAATCTCTTCACCAAGGCTCACTTTCCTGGTCGCTTCTGCACTCTTCTTTCCAAACTCAAGCTAGTTTCCTCATCCCCATCTTGAGTTTAAGGGGGGATGCTACAAAATATTCTATAGAATATTCATCACACTTGATTATGTTCACATTATTATTGATTGACATGATTAGGTTAATTGATTTTGTACTATAAAATATTTTCTTGTACAGGCCTATAAATAAGCAATTTTTACATTCAAATGAATCAAGAAAAGTATCAGTTTCTTCATATTTTTATCTTCTGCCTCTTTTCTCTCATTAATATAATACACAATTGCGAGCCAAGTCAATTGTGTCAATGCACTCTAACTCTTTTTGTTTTAATTGAACAATGATATAAAGATAATTTTTTATATAATTTTTTATATTATTGAATAAATAAATATATTTAATATTATGAGTATCAAATAAATAAAAAGAATTAATTATTTATCTTAGTACTTATTGATCTTATTTTTTAAAGATTAAAAGAAAAATTATTTTAAATTTTAATAAAGTATTATAAAAAAAGATAAAAAAAAAACACTTTAATTTTATACTTTTAAAATAATTTTTCTCATAATTTTTTAAAATAAAATAAACAATACTATCCTGATAAAATTGTACTAAATATTAATATAAAATGATTATTTCCAAATTATTTTCTTTTCCATTGTATGCTACGGTCGACGTGTTGGGGGGGCCTGGGTGGGGACATTGCAGTAATTTCATCATAACCCAAAAGGGGCCAAAAAAGGATAATGAGGGGGTGGTGGCCCGAACATGTGGACTGGGCTCCAAAATTTCAAACCACAAACGGTCACAATTTCAAATTCAATCTCAATCTTTCTGTGTACTGACCGTTCCATGTTAAATCCCTCCCTCTGAAAAACCCACTCCCTCAGTCCCTCTCCTTTTCCCTTAATAATAATAAAAAAAAAGAAATCACTTCAGTATTTCTATCTCGAAAAACATCTTCTTCTTTCCGGAGAAAAAACTTTTTCATCTGAAACCCTAGCACTTCTTTCGCCAGATACAGCAGCGATTTCGCGATCTGTAAACAAAAAACCAAGAATGCCGTTTATTTCCGAGGCTGCGAGCGCAATTAAGAGTCGATTTGGCTTCCACGGCCACTCGTCTTCGGAATCCGTGCTTCCGGTCCGTAGTACGCCTGATGTGCTGGTGAAATCTGCGTCTAGAGATCCCGATCACTCGTCTCTGGCCGTGTCGGCTGTTCGGAGGATTGGCGACTGGAATGATGACGCCACCACCACCACTGCAACTGCACTGCCGCCGTCTCAGAGCTTCGAGATTCAAGAGGATCCTGCCTTCTGGCAAGACAATAATGTCCAGGTCAGTTTGATGCAACTGCTTTACTTAGAAGAATCCGCAGCTTTTGCTTGATACCAAACCAACTTAATTAGGTTCACCACAAATACCTATATTAAATTAAACAACAAATTTTCAGCGTATTGGATAAAATGGAAATCTCACTGATCGAATTTTTTTTTTTTAAATGTTAATTTAGGTTGTCATTAGAGTTCGGCCTCTTAATAGTTCTGAAATCTCAATTCAAGGATACAACAAGTGTGTTAGGCAAGAAAGCTGTCAAACAATCACTTGGGCGGGGCATCCTGAATCACGTTTTACCTTTGACCTTGTTGCTGATGAGAATGTTAGCCAGGTAGAGTTTTGATTTTTTATCAGTTTTGTGGTGACTTTTCAAAATCATACACCTAATTTGCAACATAACATAACAGGAGAAACTCTTCAAAGTGGCTGGAGTGCCAATGGTGGAAAATTGCGTGGGAGGATACAACAGTTGCATGTTTGCATATGGGCAAGTGAGTTTTTAACCAAATTATTGAATTTATTATCTTATGAGTTATCATGTTGTGCAATGATAGTACTTGCTTTAGCTTATGTTCTTGTTGTAGCATTGATTGACTGAAATAACCTGTGTTGTCTGTAAATAGACTGGAAGTGGAAAAACTCATACAATGCTTGGAGACATTGAGGGAGGCACTCGAAGACACAGTGCCAATTGTGGGATGACACCGAGAGTCTTTGAATATTTATTTTCAAGAATACAGAAGGTATGTATGTTTTATGTGGCTAGGCTTGTGACTTGGGGGTTGTGGCTGTCTGGCTAAGTACCAATGAGGATAGCCTGACCTGGATGGAATTGTTTTCCTTTCACATTTTGATGTAAGAAACTAATGCATATTCATTTTTGGTATCTCAGGAAAAAGAGATTCGTAAAGAAGAAAAGTTAAGATTCACTTGTAAATGCTCTTTTTTGGAAATATATAATGAGCAGATCCTTGATCTTTTAGACCCATCATCAAACAATTTACAGGTATCAATCAATCACCTGCCTCTTATCACAGTTAATAGCCTTTTTAATTTATGCATTCATATTTAATTCATACCATTGTGAGGTATTTTAACCTAGTAAATTGTATATGTCTTAATTTTAATATTATGCACCTTATTTTTTTCTTAGTAGAGGAGAAAACCAAGTTTTTGTGGTTACATGGTTTGGTTATGTTGCAGATAAGAGAAGACAACAAGAAAGGGGTCTATGTTGAGAATCTTAAGGAGATAGAAGTTACAACTGCACGGGATGTGATGCAACAACTTATTCAAGTAAAAATTCCATCTACACCTTGATTAAAAGATGTGAAGCTTTCCTCATCCTGAAAAACTATTTGTTTAACATAGAGCTAATTTTATTCTTAGGAGGTCAAGTGCAGTGAGCACTTGCTTTAATTCTTGTGAGATATTTTATTCCTTTGAATCCAACTTTTCAGGGTGCAGCAAACAGAAAGGTGGCTGCGACAAATATGAATCGTGCAAGTAGTCGTTCTCACAGTGTATTTACATGTGCCATTGAAAGTAAAGTGAGTAACCTTTTAAGTTTTAAAAAAATTATTGAAAGTTACCATAATGATTGTTCAGTTGAAGCTCCTTATTTTGTTTTATGAATACCTAATGTTTCTCTCATCTGAAAAGTTCTAACTGGTGTCCATATTTTCCAGTGGGAATCCCAAGGTGTTACACACCACCGTTTTGCTCGGCTTAATTTGGTTGATCTAGCGGGTTCTGAAAGGTAAATAGAAGAGGCCCATGAAATTATCAATGATGGTCATGCTTTTTTCTCCTAACATCTGATCTGACTAACGGTTATTTTATGCTTTCTTTTCCTTGATTGCAGGCAAAAGAGTTCTGGGGCTGAAGGTGAACGTCTAAAAGAAGCTACTAATATTAACAAGTCTCTTTCAACATTGGGGTAAGCCTCTACTTCAAGCCCTTGATTCTGATTAAAGTAAATTTGACAAGTATTGATTTTTACAGTTTCATGGTTTGATCTTTTTGACTTATTTGCAGACTTGTGATCATGAATCTTGTAAGCATTTCCAATGGAAAATCATTACATGTTCCCTACCGGGATTCAAAACTTACTTTTTTGCTTCAGGTAGGTTGTAATATGTGGGTTATTGTGCTCTTGAGATGTAAATTTATGTTACTGAGCCCTATGTGATTACAGATACTAATGGAATTCCACTTCAGTAATTTTAGTTTCTTTAGGTTTAGAGTTTCTGAAATATATGGCCCTCTGGTTTCAAGGACCTGCTATAGGATGTAATTCCTTCTTCTGATCATGTTCTACGTTCTTTTATTTTCAGGATTCTCTTGGAGGGAATTCAAAGACAATCATAATTGCAAACATTAGTCCTTCTAGTTGGTAAGTAAAATATCTGTAAATTAGTCATCTTCGTTCTAGATCTTAACTTCAGTTGGTTGTTTAGATTAACTCTCATACACGACTTTTAATTTTACATCTGGCAACTTTCATTTTATAAGGCTTGATTTATGTATCAAATTGGAGCATTTAATCAGTTTTAACTTATAATTCCCTTTTCTTACTGTAGCTGTAAGCTACCCAAAAGTTCTTCATGTTGACTATTTTCTAATTGCTGTTATGGGCATGGTTAATGTACTTGGCTTTTTTCACTTGTTTCTGTGAATGACTTGACTGGTTTGTTTTTTTTTTTTTTTTTTTTTTTTGGGATCCCTTGCAGTTGTTCATTGGAGACACTAAGCACATTGAAGTTTGCACAGCGGGCTAAGTTTATTAAAAATAATGTATGGCGGCTTTGGTTACTTCCCCTTTTCTTTGACTCTGAAAGAGTTATTTTGTATCTCCATTGGGATTAATTTATGACTTTTGTGTTCCTGGGGTCTATGATCTTCTAGCAATTGATGCTGTTAATTCTTGTTTCGCTTTCTTATGTGAAAGTTATTTGTACTACTTTCCTGCAGGCAGTTGTGAATGAAGATGCATCTGGAGATGTTATTGCTATGAGGATGCAAATTCAACAGCTTAAGGTATCTTGTTTACTTTTCTTTTCTCTGAGAAATAATATATAGTATAGGTAACATAGCAATAGTCTATTGGGTTTTGGAAGTGTGCCATGTTTCATCTTGGAAAGGGTAACACTAGTAGAGTTAGCTATTTTTGAAACTTCAGGCACTGAGTGTGACCATGCTTGTAATAAACCTGTGTGAACGAATTAGTTTCTCTTTTTCACTGCTTTTATGTTATGACTTATCTTGTTTTTGATATTTTCACTGTCCTTACACATGTCAACTACTGTTTCTCAGAAAGAAGTATCCCGTCTACGAGGATTAGTTAACAGAGGAGGTGAAGCTCTGGATAATGACACAATAAGCTTTCCAGGATCACCAGGATCATTTACGTGGGAAGGGCTTCAGGGGTCATTCAGTCCACTTACATCTGACAAAAGGATGTCTCAGGTTTGCACTATTCTTGCTTAAGGAAATATCTATTAAACATTTTTTGGTTAGCTGATTGGGTTCTTATTCCTATTATGATTCCGTGTTCCAGAAAAAGGATTATGAAGTTGCTCTTGTTGGGGCCTTCAAGAGGGAGAAGGAAAAAGAAATTGCTCTGCAGGCATTGGCAGCTGAAAATCAGGCAGCAATGCAGTTGGTATGTTTAAAGGGAATATATTATTTATTGATGGGGTTATGAGTACAAGTTGAAGTCCATTGTATGGTTTCTCATTTAAAAATAATCATTATATGGACTGAGGAAAAAGTGAATCAGTTTCTAGTTTTAATACTAGAAATTTAGCCGTCAAAATATTATCTAATAGTTGAGAGTACTCTATGGTGGTGGAATACTTTTGAGGTTTTTGTTTTTTTTTTTTTTTCCTTAAAATGGTTTTTAACTTGATTTGGTGACTTTCTCATAAGTAAGTTCCACTCTTTCTTTTTCAATAGGCAAAACAAAGAGAAGATGAGATTCAAGGCCTGAAAATGAGGCTGCGCTTTCGAGAAGCAGGAATTAAGAGGTTGGAAGCTGTTGCTTCTGGGAAGATCTCTGCTGAGGCACACTTCCTAAAAGAAAAGGAGGAATATCTGAAAGAAATAGAAGTTCTACGAGCTCAAGTTGATAGGAACCAAGAAGTGACCAGATTTGCCATGGAGAATTTGCGCCTGAAGGAAGAAATCCGAAGGCATGTAGTTGTTGTGCATCTCTTGGTTCTCTTATTCAATTAATGTTATTTGACTTTTTCTTACATATTATCCTAGCAATTGCAGGCTAAAGTCATCTATTGACGAAGGTGAACGTGAGATGATGAATCAACAGATTGCAGTGTTACAGAATAAGGTGTGAAATTTTGATCTAAAAAATGTTGTAAGATTTCATGGTCACTACATCCATTGGAATGCATGAGCCTCACACTATGTTGATTAAACATGCAGTTGCTAGAAGCACTTGATTGGAAACTTATGCATGAAGCAGATCCCTTGGTAGCTCAGGTTCTTCACAAGCACCTTAATGAATCCAAAGATAAATTAATTTGTGAAGAATGTTTCATAATTCTTTATTTCTGAATTGCTCTTGTGCTACAGAAAACTAACTTGGATGTGGTCCCTGGAGTTGACAGTAATAGCGATCAACTGCTCTCTGGTCAGGTGGGAGATTCAAGTTCCAATGCATTTCAAAGCATGGCTAATTTGTTCTTATTTGTCTTTATTTATTTATTTTTGAAATATCGCAGCAATATTAGCTCATTTCACAACTAACATAAATTATGTTTTGAAGCATATGGCCGTAATTCTTTAGTGGTTGGATTATCTTGAAAGGTTCCAGTCTGGGAATCTTTTGTTTTACAAAATCTAGCTTCTTTCTTTTTCATACACAATATGCAAATGTAGTTTCTTTTGGTTTTTAATTGTTAAATATTTGTTGCCTTAGTGAAATTTGATATTTTTCCAATACAGGCACCTGATGCAACTTGGTGCTCTTCACTCAGTGAAGAAAATGAACTCCTTCGCATGCAGGTAAATATCCACTTCAGATTTCATCTAATATAAATGGCTTTCATATTCTTTATTACCCACGTAAAACTTATCTCTTGTGCCAGGCTATTGAAAACCAAGCAGAAATAGGCACACTACAGAAGAAAATAGATTTTTATCTCGAAGAGAAAGAAAAGCTGGAAAGGTATCAGTATCTTTTTCTAGTTCAGTGTTGGCTGTTGTGGCTTGTGAACAAATAGATGGAAGCTCATAATCTTCTTAATCATGAAACATTGCAAATGTTTATGCCGATTTATAGTCTGATGTACTGGCATATACTGGATAGTGGTTATACAACATCTTTAATTTGATTTGTCAATATGGCAGGCATGTTGAGGATCTACTTGAGAAACTTGGAGAAGAGAGATCATCTAGAGCAATGAGAGAACAAATACAGCAGACAGAGCTTCATAATTTGTCAAAGGATATGCCCATTGTCAACTTTAATGATCAAACAGAGCTGAAGACAATGGTTGATGCCATTGCTGCTGCAAGTCAAAGAGAAGCAGAAGCTCTTGAGAGAGTATACAAGCTAACTCAAGAGAATGATGAGCTGCGTTTTAAGCTGAAGGGTTATGTTGAGGATAACAAACAACTTGTTGAATTATATGAGCAGAAAGCTGCAGAGAATGACACCGGAGGTTCAAATAAAACTGAGATTTCTCTGGAAGATGATGCTACTGATTTAGGACAGCTTGGTGAAGAAAAAGAGGCTGAGATGAAGAAGGTGATTGAGAACCTAGAACAACAGCTCACGGAAATGCATGAAGAAAATGAAAAATTATTGAGTTTGTATGAGAAGGCCATGCAGGAGAGAGATGAATTTAAGAGAGTTCTTTCTTCCAATGGACAGAATATAGCATTTGTTAGAGAATTTGATTGTCCTGAGAAGCTTGTTGAAGTTGATGGAGGGGAACCAGATGAACTTTCTGCGTATATTGAGGCAAAGGAGTCAGAGATCGATGCTGGTCTTGTTGAATCTAATATGCCAGACGTCAGAGAAGATTCAGTGTTTGATAAGTTTACTCCATCTACAGAAGCAATTTCCAGAATGGATGAGCAGACGGAATCCAGCCCATGCCCGGTGTACTCTCAATTGAAAGAAGATCAATTTGATTATCTTCCCATTAATAAAATTCCCGAGTCAGGGAAATCTGTTGGCTATGGTCAATCAGAAGCAGGCCATAAGATTGATGAGGGTACCTCGTGGATGGAAATAGATCCATCAAGCATCACTACAACGAGGATACCTGAATATCTAAATTGGGTCCAAACAAAACTTGAAAGTGCACGGGACAAACTTTTGGGTTCTTCAAAAACCCTTAATCTGTTTGGTTCCCTCGAGAAAGCATTCATGGAGGTGGATAAGCTTTCCAGAGAAATGGAAGTAATGGAAGGAGTTATAGAGGAGAAGCAGCAATTACTGGAATCATTGAAGGTCCTTTCTTCAGAAATGAGAGATAGGAAAGATCTTAGTGATAAAAAGCTATCAGCACTCAAGTACTCTCTAACAAGCTTTTCTGCATCTGTAGCTTACTTTGAACAGCGAGAAGCTCGGGCAAGGGCAAGGTTAAGTGCTTCATTGTCTTACTTGGACAAAAAGAAAGAGGAATTGGGCCATCTTCAAGCTTGCAAAGGGGAAATTGTGGCTTCCATGGGGAGGACGCGAGAATCTGAAACTGAGGCTAGGAACAACCTTGCCCTCTTGAAATCAAAACTTGAAGAAGAGAACAGGGCAAAAGAGAATGAAAAGGTTCTCTTTGCCATAGATAACATGGAGAAGATGGACCCCTCACAGAGAAACTGGTATTTGGGTGGTAAAGCTTCTGAGTTACTCAAGTCTGAGGAAGAGAAAAACAAGCTGCAAAATGAGATGAAGCTCTTGAGAGAAAAACTTGGGGCTATGAGAAAGGAATTTGATGATTTGAATAAAAAATTTGTAAAAGTAGAGGATGAAATGAAAGCTGTTATAGTGGAAATACTGAAAGGATCAAACTCAGTGGAGGAGATGGAGCTTGCACTGCAACGGGTAGTCCAAGAGAAGGAAACTCTCTTTGAAGTCAGAGAGAATGGAAAGACAGAATTTGAGAGCATGATTGTTGAATATCAGCAGCATGTTTTTGAGGCAGAACTCAAAGAGGCAGAATTAAAGACGATTGAAGATGAACTTCAGCAGGAGTTGAGAAGAATAGAACAATTGCGGACAGTGAGGGCTGAAGCTGCTGAGAAGGTAAAGCAATTGTTCTGTGCTACAGGTGATTCATGCTTCTTATCAGAAAAGATTGCAACAGATCTAGAAAGTGTTTCTGCAACAATCAAGGAGGCTGAGACATTGCTAGGAATGGGTCATTCAAATAACAGTTAGATTTTGATTTTTCCTTTGATTTTTCCACATGAACTAAGCCTGTCATGCATGTATTAAACTCTTGTGTAATTAAGAAGTTTAGCTCTTGGTC